CAGACGTGAAGATAGCTGGTACAGCAGTTCTACCTGCTGTCTGTCTGTCAGCTGTCTTGCTTCTTCACGCCACTTTTAAAGGACTCCAGGTTGCAAGAAGGAGGGAACACATGAGCAGGCAGAGCATTCCATTTACGGATAGTGCGACAAAGAAATAAGACACCATATTTCTTTGCACGCGTTGGAATTGTGGCCGCAGTTAGACGGTGACACCGAAGGCCAGCGCGCGTGGTCCTATGAAGGAAAGGGGAGCATGGAATAAGAGAGAATAACTCTTCAGAACACTAGCCGTGGTACAGACGATAGAACTCGCTTAGTGACGCCACGTCACGGCGTAATTGAAGAGACTCGAGGTGATTAGTCACCTCCTCATCGCCTATTATGCGGATCGCACGCCTCTGTAACCTATCCAAAGCATCGAGCAAGTGCTTGGCGGAGCCATCCCAGAGGTACGAGCAATATTCCACGCAAGACCGCACCTGGTTAAGGTCTCCGAGTTTGCGTGAGGCCGTTTTTACCACGCTTTCGATGTAATTCTTGGAATTTAAGTCACAGCGAATTTCCATACCGAGTATGGTGATACTGCTCTCTATTCTGTATTCGTTACGGACCTAATTTTGATTTGATTTACTAATAGGGATGATGACGGGGTACAGTAAACGAATTTCTATTTAGTCCGTCAGTTAGATGATCAAAAAATAATGGACACGTATTTTTTCTTTGGGCAATCAACCAAAAAATGACAAAGTTATAGTGCGTCAAAGTTTGGGAGAAGGGGCTCGTGACGTCACTTTTGAGTGAATTTTCCCTTATAAGTGTACTCAAACGTGACGTCATGCGACTTTTCAAATCAATATATATCTCTGCAATATTTATATTATGTGAAAAAAGAAATTATACGTGTCCAATACTTTTTGATAATCTACCTGATTAACGAAGAAAAAAAAATTAGTCATCATCCCTATTCTAGGAAGTGGCGGTGTGTAAATCGTGAATGGCCCGCGCGCCAGTTTCGTAAAATACGCCCCTTTTAGTGAAGATAAGTATTTTTTACCATTTATAACAGAAAACACAACTTCAGTACAAGATAAGCTCATACAATCAATTTATCAACATTCAAATATGTTTTTATTACACATTCGTTTACTATGACACATAGGTTTAAGTGAACTGATGACTCTTTTAAAATCAGTATGTTATGCTCAAACAAACCTAATGTCACGTGAAACATAAAGTTGAGTTGCGCAGTTCATTTTCGTTGGACTGTAAATAATTCAATTTCACATAAAAGTTAGTTGACCGTTACGTAAAAGTAAACTATTGATTCTGAGTAATGTTAATATTGTCTACTTAAGTTGTACTCTTTGGTATTTTAATGTCAGAGAACAGTTGGATATCAGTTTTTAATAATTTGATATTTCTTAATGTTGGTTGAATAAATAGATAAATATATTATATGTTAGACAGGTTAAAGCTTCGTGTCTAACACGACATACGGGGTTGGCAGTGCACCAAATATTCGAGACAGGAGATGCATGTCGTAATACATAAGGTACAGGTTAGTACATTACTTCTATCTTGGCACACCATTTTGACCCATATATGACGCCTACACAACTTAAATCAAAAACTGTCTATTTAATACAGATTTTTAGTACCTGAATGGTAATGAAAGCGCACTTAATAAAAAAACGTTTTCTATTCGTTGTTATTTTAGTAGTTATAGACGCGAAGAATGCGAATGTATGTAAAAAAACTAAAGTTTACAGTTTCTTTAAATCTAAAGAAAGGTTTACTAGAAAAATTTCACGCGGACCAGACAGCAGACAGGATTCGAACCTCCGCTATCCGGGTGGATGCACTGACCATTAGGGACGCGGTATAATATATATTATTATAGTATATTATGCTACCGCTAGCAAAGAAAGATTTATTAGAAAAAACTATACGAACAATGTTGATTTATTGCCAACTTTTTTCATATGTCTCATCATCATCGTATCAGCCTTGCGATATCCACTGCAGAGCATAGGCCTCCCCCAGGACTCTCCCAATCAATTGGTCCGGCGCAACTCGCATCTAGCGGCTTTGCGGGACCTTCACAAGACCGTTGGTCCACCTAGTGCGGGGCCTGCCCACTGAGCGTCATCCGGTGCAAGGTCGCCATTCATGAACCTTTCCGCCCCAACGGCCATCTGTTCTCCTCGCTACGTGTCCCGCCCATTACCACCAGCAGAGCAATTCTTCGTGAGATATCGGTTACTTTAGTTCTACCACGGATTTCCTCATTTCTGATTCTACCGCGTAGGCTAATTACCGAGCATCGCTCTCTCCATTGGTCGCTGTGTGACTTTGAGCCTTCTTATGAGACCTGCAGTAAACAGCACGTATCGTTTCCGTACATCATCACTGGCAACAGAGACTGGTCAAAGACTTTTGTCTTAGGACACAGAGGTAATGTGGTCGCAAAAAATTTCGTAACTTCATGAACGCTGCCCATTCGACGAGAGATTTAAAGTTGGATTTAACTAACTGGACTGTCTCTCCCAGTTAAACATAATGGTCGACATCGGCCGTGTTGTTCAGATCGTCCACATCTAAGCTGTTTTCGAGGACTTTGAAGTTCGAGTTAAAAGGTCTCGGGGTTTTGGAATTGTGCAGGCATTGTTCATCACATTCCTATTTTCCTATTGTTTACTACAATAGTTTCATGATACGTAAAATAACGGAAACGCTACTAAAAAAGTTTCCGTAAGTAAAAATATTCTGTGTTACCGTGAGTAGTTACAATTATATATGAATGAATAGCTATCTACAAAATTCCTTTTTCATGGTAAAATTTGATTCGTCGATACAAAAGCACTTTGACTACAAAGCAATTGGAAAGGATAACACTCTCTTTTATTCAGTAGGCTCTTCTAACACAAAATAGAATAGGCCTTCTGGCATAAAGAGACTCCTTGGGTGGCATCACTTGTAATATTTTCTTAGGCTCTCGCTGTGTAATCGTATCATTTACAACAAATATTCGTTAGAAATGTTGAATTATTTTTTGCATTTTCTGGAAGTATATATAAATATAAGTGTATATTATATATAATAAAAAAGGGATACTAACTATGATTATAAAGTTTATAACAAAATGTTTAATCAACAACGCATTGGCAAAAAATAATGAAATGGAAACAGTCGAAGAAGTTTATGGTTCGTAACTTACACGAGATAATCTTTTTTTTTATTCTCGATGAGGACTCTATAGTAAAATATGTATGTAATTTATTAAATTTTCATTCAAGAAAATGTTAAATTAAGATATTTTGAGCTCTTTTAATTTTATGATTTTATTTATTTTTTAAGCATTTAACTGCTAGATGTTTAAATCTAAAGAAAAGTTTACTAGAAAAAAATCCACGCGGACCAGGCAGCGGACGGGACTCGAACCCGCATCCTTCGCCATCCGGGCGAATGCACTGACCATTATGCTACCACGGCCCTATTAGCCGCGTAGAAATTTTCCTAGCCTTAAGCTGCAAGGCAGCGCCATCGTAGGCAATAGTTTGGAGTCTATATGTATAATGTATCTGGAAATTATAGCGGCAATTACTTTATACGTGTTGGAGTGGCTATTTGTCATTTTTATTATTTCTTTAAGGTGGGGGTTCTACTTCCACGCATCGTTTCTGCAAGGACGCTCGCATTCTTGAAGAAAATGCTTATACTGGATGATTTAGGAAATTGATCGAAGCTTTAAAATACTTAACATAGACGTTTAGATAATTTACCACTGATTTTTCCATTTACCATGACTCCCTATCATTATATTTCAATAACGGGACAAGTGTCCCGTGAGCAAATGGAATTCGCAACCCCTCATGTATGCCAACGTCCCTTCCTTCCGCAGATCAAGAAACCAATCGAGACTTCGTTAATTGCTTATTTTTTCGATCCGGAGCTGAAGGTTTCTTTGGGATGATTTTTCAATTATCAGGATTATGTACCGTACATACTAAACGGATGCAAACTATGTAAATAAATATAAGTTACATGTAGATACCTAATTTTTGTCGAAATTTAAACATCCGAGGAAATAATTGCCCCGATTCGAATTCCATAAATCTATCCCTGGGGCTTAGTTAAATGATTTTATTTTATACCTATGAACGAAAGCGCTAGTTTTAAAGTTTGAAAATAAACTAAGAAAAATGAACTTACTTATCGTTAGTTTAGATTTAGAGCCTGCGCTGCGTTAAGTAGGAACACGGAGCGGACATGCGTTCCGCGATGGGAGTTCCGCCTCATGCCGCGCTGCCCTATGAAATAACATAAAACTGCACGAGTAGCGGACTACGTCCGCTCCGTGTTCCCGCTTAATGCAGCGCACGCCCCTAGAGCATATAACTCAGCCATGGCCCCTATCTTTGATTACCTCATAAGGCCTGATTGCTAAATTTATCGTTCCCGAAGACCAGTGTACCAACTATAGGAAGATGAATAGCTGGATAAAGTTGATAATTTATTTTTATACGGGCCGCAACAGATTACCCCACCCCACCTGATGGTAAGTGTAAGTGGAGTGCAGTAGCGAAGATAGACGATGCAGCAGAAGCAGTTGTGCCTCTCCAGCCTACTCAACTTCACGGTCTGAATCCTATCCCCTACCCCGCGGAACCCTAGAACCTTACTCACCAGCAGAAACAAAACACCACTAAAAAGTTGTGTTATTTTGTTGTGATCTTCTATAATGTGGAGATTGCTTTCCCAGACGGGCGCTCCAATTCGAGCGGTAAACCCGCTCTGCCCTACCATTCTTCATCAGACTTCCCTGCAGATAGAGCACTGTTTCCTGCCTATACAGCAGCTGGCATTCCTCCAAGCCAGCTTGACTCAACACCACCAAAAAGTAGTGTTATTTTACTGTGTTATTCTGTAAGGTGGAGGTTACTTCCCCAGATGGGCGCTCCAATTAGAGCGGAAAATCCGCTGTGCCCTACCAGACTTACCTGCAGTTTAGACCACTGTATCCTCCCTATACAGCGACTGGCGTTCCTCCAACCTAGCTTAGCTCCAAATACCAGCTCGGTGGTAGTCAGCTGGTATGTGCCGGTCTTCGCAACTTCCTCCTGCACCGCCTTCCAGCGGGCCTCATGGGCTGGTGTGTTAGCTCTAAATGGTGAATATATAAATATGTTATAGACATTGAAAGAGGCCCAATCATAAATTATGACAGCTCCGTAATCGTATCGTCATCATCGAATTTTATATGGGAGCAGCCAGTTAGTTCTTACATCCGATATATTTTTACCCGGCTGCGCAATGCAAGAGCGCGAAGCGCGACGCGCAGACAGGGTTATGTGTTTAACAGTCTATATATGTATGTTTGTTCCTTTGTGGCACACTAGAGACCAAACGCCTGGACCGATTTTGATGATTCATACATCAATCGATTCGTCTCAATCATGGGAGTGCTACTAAAGATATGATAGTAATCAAAATACAATATGGGCAAAATTAGGCGCCATATTGTGACGAAGTAAAAAAAATAAGTTGACAAAATATGTCGAGTGGGGTATCACTGTCTAGATAATCAAAAATCATATTTAGGTTCCTAACACCATTTTTCATTTTATATGATTGTTTAGGATCTACGACGCTTTAAAGTTGTATATTAACCACTTACGCTTTTAATTTAAATCTTACGTTTGTATGGATTTTTGTTGCTCTTGCACCAAAAAAATACTGAATGGATTTTAATGAAACTTAACAGTAATATAGCTCATATATAATAATTTATGTAGTTATTGAGTGAATTGGTCAATATATAACAATAAGTGTCACATAAGACGGAAAAAATGTCCCATCTGCGAGCCATTTTGGCCTGCACTCCAAAAACAATAAAAGTTACATGAATGTAATGTAGAGTGAAAATGTATCTCATAAATAGTTCTAAAAAAAAGTCCGTGACACCATATATCTATTTTTAATGTGTAAGTCATTACCGCTAAAATAGTGAATCAAAACTAAAATATTATTTGATGTCTATTTCCAAAATGCACATTTTGTATTAACAAATCATTTTTTATCAAAACAAATACTTTAATCGCTTTTGATATTTAGAGACGATAAACTTTGCTTTTTACACTGTCATTTCGACAAATATTTAAAAAGTTACAACGATGACAAAGAGTACTAACAACAAAACTGTGATACAGTTCCTTCTTATTAAATGATGAAAAATATATTATTATAATAGGTATTATGATTATTGAATTTTTATGAAAAACTCAGAATTTTACTGTTTTTAATTTTTTTAACGATATTACTTAATGTTACAAAAAAGGTTTACTTAATATAATGACAAATAACCCATTTTTCGCTAGTAAGTACATACTTATTGGAATCCCTGTATTTATTAATCAGCTCGCGATAATATTGGTTTTGTAATAATTCTGCAAAATTCAAAGTAAATAGTGTAGATTTTTAAAGGTAAATCACCCCTTTCATCACCCTACGCCTCTAAGTATTGCGGTGTTGTAGCTAAGAACCAAGTTCCCATCTACTTCTATATGGGAATTCATTATATTCGAGTTAGCTATTAGGGCACGGAAGCGCAACAAACAAACTCACTTTCGCATCTATAATATTATATTATACTTACTAGTGATCCACCCGGGCATTGTACGGGCGAAATTTATTTATCGGGATAAAATATAGCCTATGTCACTCGGACAAAATGTATTTAAATAAAGAAAAATGTTATAATAAATAATGTAGCTACTTTATGATGAATTAATATTTGAAACCGGTTCAGTAGTTTGACAGATTATTTGTTACAAACATACAAATCTTGCCTCTTTATAATATTAGTATAGATAGTTAGGATAAGATAAGTATTTAATTGATGAAAAAGATTTAAAAATAAAGTAAGTAATAGGTTTATTTGATTATATTTGTAAAAGTTACTTAGCATTTGTGCTTAACAGTGATACGTTATTCGGTTTCTTTTAAACAAAAAAAAATTTGGAAAATAATTGCCATGATTGCACTACTGGGAGTACTCTTCATTCGAGCTTTACATTACCAATCAAAAAGGGTCGAACACAAAGTCTTTGACCTGTTAAAAGTGAACGCTTTAAAAGAAAACTACAAAGAGAACTATAAATTGATAATAAATGAGATTGCTATATAGTGCTCTACCTAACGTTCTGAAAATTTTATTATGCGCCTTTAGTTTAATCAAATATTATAAACTTTGCTTTATAATATTTTTAATATTTATAATCTAAGGCAGTTGCCACCATTGTCCAAAACAACAGACGGGAATTACTGATTTCTTCAACCTGCGACATAAACGTCATTGATTGGTATTGTATATAGGGTGATTAAAAACATTTGAAGTTAACTTCTGGCATCTACATATTGGGTTTCTGTGAATTATGTAGGTATATCAAATTATGAGACTAGGGACTGACACTGAATTTGTGTATATCACAATCTTAGACGTCCGGCATTGATATGACAATGCAGCCACTGCCATTTGTAAATAGTCGACGAATAAAAGTAAATGAATATTATATTTACTGCTAAACTATTAAAAAAACATAAAAAGATGACTTTTTGAGTAAGTGCTAGTTTATTATAAAATTTACATACATTAGAGATATTTATGTAACATTTAAAATGTGTGAAATTAAATCAAGTCGATTTAATTTCACACATTTTTGCGAAAATTGAGGCCCATCTGTAGCCTTGACCCCGCTGGTAAAGTCTTTATATGTCTTAATAAATCAATCTTTTAGACCGACGCAAGGTACTTAATAATTCCCGCGATATTAATTCCCTTACTGAAGTAACAAGACTACGGTATATACCGTCTTAAAATACTAACTAACTAACTAAAAAGTGTGAAATAAAAAAGGTAAATTTAAAAAATCAAAAAACCCGACTGCTTAATTATACTTCAAATAAAAACTGAAAAGAGAAAAACAAGTCCAGTAGTCTATAATTCTGTTAATAAGGAACAAAGCTACTTTAACAGTCGGGACCCATTGTTGAAAAATATTATGTATTCTTGAATATCTAATGAGTCCCGACTGTTAAAGTAGCTTTGTTCCTTATTAACAGAATTATAGACTACTGGACTTGTTTTTCTCTTTTCAGTTTTTATTTGAAGTATAATTAAGCAGTCGGGTTTTTTGATTTTTTAAATTTACCTTTTTTTTCATAGAAAATTTGATGGTGCGATACGCAGAGCTGTCAAAATTCGTGCTCGGGCCTCAAAACCTTTTAACCAAAACTAACGAATTTCTCCAACTATTATAGCATAAACTTGATTTAAAATCAAAGCTATTACAGTATAGGTATATTAGTAAAGATCCGATTTCAATGCTTGAATAAAACTTATCTGCTGAAGAAAATAAACCCTATCTAAAATAAATGTAATATACAAAATTAACATGAGTAGATAATATAATTTAACAAACTCTTCGTTTTGTCCATACAATGTCATATCAGATATATACGTTTTTTTTTTTCAGTTTTTGAAAACCTAGCTCTAAATAATTATAAAAAGCTTATGAGTTAGCTATCGTGCACTATAAATGTTGTATATTTATAATACTCTTTATTGTATTAAAAAAATTACAAGTATACAACATATTTAAGTGGTTAGCAAATTATCTCAAAAAGTTCCTCATGACGTGTGCTTTTCGACATTCAGTCGCTTATACATAGTAAAATGTTACAACATCAAAATCTACTTACACGCACCGTTTATTCCCAATTAAATAGATATTACAATATTCATAATATAATATATTGGTTTATGTTCAAATTTTACTCGCTGATCAAAAATCTACAGTTAATGACATTTTCTTCTGCACAAATTAAAAAAAATGTAGAAGTAATTCTCTTAGCGTAAATGGATACACGTTAAGAGCGATGTTCGAAAAACTATTATGAAGAAAATCTTAGAGCAATCGTACATCGAGCCACAGACTCGGTAACTAAACGCAACCACTAGTGGCTCAGTCAAGCTACTAAACGCAGCCGCTAGTGGCCTCCACGAAGCCACCACTAGAGGCCGCCACTAGGCCACTAAATACGGATACGGCTTCAATGGTGGCTGCGTCTAGTGGCTGGAATGAGCCAATAGTAGTCGCGTTAGTGGATGCTCTTAGTCTTACTTATCCCTAGTCGCTATTGTTAAATGGAGGAGCTCGATGACGCAGGTGGTTAGCGCGATCGGCTGCGATCGTTGAAGTTAAGCAACTTTCGCAGTGGTCGGTCATTGGATGGGTGACCAAAAATCTTCTATCTCTCGAGTTCCTCCGTGCTTCGGAAGGCCCGTTAAGCCGTTGGTACCGGCTGCGCCTGCAGTCGTTAGCACTCGCCAATCCGCACTGGGTCATGGCCCAATCTCCCTATTCCATCAATAAGGAAGGCCTATGCCCCAGCAGTGGGGACATTAAGAGGCCGATGATGATGATCATTGTTCAATGGCGTAAACTATTGATTACCTTCTGATTGAAGCGAAGTATTGTCCGAAGAAGTCTTTTGCATCGTTGAGGACCTCTTCCTGTTCCCTCGGCACGTCTCCGCGACCGGGGATGGCCATGACGCTTCCCAAGCACGATTTTTCGTTGCATAGTGTGGGCTGAGAACAAAAAAAATATTATAAAATATTTATAGTCTTGAAACTCGTAAACTCTCTGAGTGCGACAATTAGCGCAACCGCACATTGAGCCACTAGTCGTGACCACAGAACGCGGCTACAAGTTGCGGACGAGTTTTTTCATACATTTTGTATAGTATCAGCGCAAACCGAGCGTTTGAGTTGCCGCTTTCGAGTCACAAGCTACGGGAGTCGTCACGTTTTGATGCTCGCATCGCGAGCAGTCGCGCACACCCAGCAGACAAGGCAGCTCGGAAGTACCTCGATAAACTGTTTATTGATGGTTTTAAATTCCACGACGTTTTATAATGGCTCAATTATATTTGGTCATTAGCCCGAATTCAGGTGCACGAAATACATTACTCGAATTCGGGCACCCGAAGCAATATTTACACTAGAATACGGGCTGAAGACGGTGTTGGGTAACCAAAACGAAAACTACCCGCATACGGGCGTACTCGGATCCATTCATTTACACTTTTTATTACCCGAATTCCATTGGCACGTATAATCGCGCCATTAGTCATCATCAAAAAATCCAAAAAAAATAGAGTGGCAATTTTCACAAACACGTTCGACCCCTGCAAGCTCTCGTCAGTAATTAATGTAATTCTGAAAAAAGTTGCGGCAACTAGTGGCCGCCGCTAAGCTACTAGCGGTTGCGGTTAATGGCTGCGTCTAGTGGCTTAGCTGAGCCACCAGTGGTCGCGTTTAGTTGCCGCGGCTAGTGGCTCAATGTGCGGTTACCGCTAAAATAATGAATTAGGCATATATTGGTACATTCATGAAATCGTTTATAAACTTTTAGTATACAAAAATTTTCAATGACATTGGAGGGTGGCGTTCTAAATTAAAAAAATGTAAATTTTAGTCGCAAATGTATTTTTGTTGTGTAAGTAGCTTACGAAAGTCATTCACTACCGTTTTAGTTTAGTATTACAACACGACAGGTATCCGCTAGTCATATGATAAAATACTATTTGTATATCGAAGGAACTTTAAAATAATAGGAATTTCTTCCGCGCGCTACTATAAAATATATATTATAAAAATTATAATGGTTTGTTACCAATACATAGTTATTTATTATAATTTTTAAAAGAAAATAATTTGATATTGGAGCTCTTCTTGTCAGAGAGAGCCTCATTTTCAGTAAAATATTGCTACGTAAATAATAACGGCTGTTGCCATTATATTGTGAAATGTGTGAATGTTTGTGTATGCCTATTTTATGTTTACATTTATTTTAATTTATATTCAACTTTCTACTTACAAAACTGTTGTCTTGAATTCTGTACAACCTCCTTCATTATTATTATTATGGTGCTTTTTATTTTATTTTTCCAGTTCATTTGATTGTCTGGAAGAAATCGCTGATAAGATAAGGCCGCCCTTTGTGCAACTGTAATTGTTTTGCCTTGTTTTGTATTTTATTCGTGTTCTTTATGTAGTGCAATAAAGTGTGATTATCTTATCTTATTATCTTATATTTAGAAAAAATAACTAATAATGGAATAAAAATAAAAAAAAGTCCACATTGCCTCCTAATTGTATCCGTCCATAGTAAAAGTGTACCTTTCCGCGCACAGTGCAACTCCGGAAATTACTGTTGGCACTGGGAAAAGATAGTTTCCAGACAAAAACATACCCAATGCATATTAAATGAGGTGCAGTTAACTCATACGTTTGTATAGTCAGTAACTGATTTCAAATTTTCGAAGGCGGCAGTTTTCAAGTTCCGTGCCCTTAGCACGAACCATTATCGAATTCGAATAGTTTGCGAAAGGAAATGTCAATGTCAAATTTTGTATGGTAACTTGAATAGCAGCGGCACAAAGTACGTAACGAGAACTAAAAAAGAGTACACATTTGACAATGACATTTCGGACTCGCAAACGATATGAATTCGATAATGGTTCATGCTAGGGGTACAGAACAATTTTTATTTGTTAACGAAAGATTTAATTTCGATACGATATCTGCTAACTTTCTTACAAAAAAAAGTTCAAATCCATCAACGTTGAGATAAATTAGTTATAATAGTACGAGTATAGTGTTTCTAGTAATATTCAATATTATTCTATAACAAAATAACGTTGGCGCCTCTCTATCATACACAATATGCGTGTGAAACAAATACAGTGTCTGACATGTGAAAATATTGACATATTGAAAGGAAAATATTATTATAGCTACGTCAATTAGATTGATACTTCGTTTCATTAATACCAGTGTTACAGTACAAGTTTATGTTACTATGTAGATTATCTATACATATAATAAAATGGTAGTAAAGTCAAAACTATACATAGGTATTTTTTTTTTAAAAGAATACTAGGGGTGTAATCTATCCGAGCACACGTTGATCGTGTGCCCGGCCTGGCGAGATGAGCGCCGCGATCTGATCGCGGCGCTCGGCATAGGAGGTCTCACGCTACCAAGTATGGTAAGAGCCATGCTTGGTAGCGAGAGAGCCTGGAGGGTTGCCGCCTCCTTCTGCGAATCGGTGATGACGCAGAAGGAGGCAGCGGAGAGGGAGCGGGAGGAGGACGCTCTAGCCGCCCCTCTCCGGCGTAGACGGGTGGGCCGAAGAAGGCAGGCAGCGGTGACTGCCGGTCTTCGACGGCCCTAAGGTGGTCTGGGCGCGGCCTGACCAGCCGCGCGTCCTAGGTGCCGCTCCGGCATAGGCCACCACGTCTGGGGACTGCCTAGTACCCTAGCGCAGTCCCCCTGAGGCGCGTCGCCCGGTCCACTCGTTGGGCCGGGCCTGCCCGAGGGCGTGCTCGGAGATGTGGCGCACGCAGGTGCGTCGGCCCCGAGACGCCCCCATATGGGCGTAGGAGGGTACCGGGGGGTTTTAGTGGAGTAGGATCAGTGTGGCCTTCCGCACTGGTCCTGCTTGAGTAGGGTCGGCACTGTTTCCCGTGCCGGCGAGTCCCACACACGCCGTGCGCCTAGTCAGCGTCACGGTATGGTGCGTAACTGCATTTCCCCTCGTCACAAAAAAAAAAAAAAAAAAAAAAAAGGGGTGTAATCTACAATCGATACCGAAACCAAAAAAAATATAGTTTTTAGAATTTTTGTCTGTTTGTCTGTATGTATGTCCGAGATAAACTCAAAAAATACTGCATGGGTTTACTTCAAATTTGGCACGAATATTACTAAGAAGTCGGGTCAACATATAGGCTACATATTATCACGGTATCACCTACGCGGAACGAGCAGTAAACCTTTATTTCTAACTAACTCCACGCGTACCAAGTCGCGGGCGGCCGCCAGTACAAGATAATTTGGTTAGTTTTTCAAATATTTGCATTTAAGGAAAAAAAACAGAATATTCCGCATTGCACTAGTGCGATGTCGAGGCGAGTTGGCAAATTTAAATCTTACTAATAAAAAAAGTATTTAGATAAATACATAGACGTTTTTATAATATTTTTGTCTTTGATCATGTGTTTTAAGGATGATTATAATTATAAATATTTATATATATTAGTATTACCAATACGACGACCTCCGTGGCCGAGTGGTTTATATGTCGGGTTTCATGGTATCGCCGACCAGAGAGGTCCCCGGGTTCGAATCCCGGTGAGGGCAGATGTTTGTGTGATGAATGCGAGCATTTGTACTCCAGTCATGGATGTTTAATATGTATTACTATGTGAATATACTTAAATATGTACAATATATATGTATTCTATTCGTTACCCTAGTATCCCATAACACAAGCCTTTCAATGCTTACTGAACAACACTCGCACCAATTTGCCCCAAAGGCTAGGCTAATTGGTGCGAGTGTTGGAAATATTTATTTATTTATTATTAACTATACTTATTGAATAATTTTATTAAAATATGTAATACTGTACTGACTACACATAGATAAACATCTATATACCTAGGTATGATAAAAATGTATGCTTTTCAAAATTATAAGTATGTTAAAGCGAAGGTATGAAATAATTTTAATATGTTTCTATAAGCAAACTTTTACTTTTCCTGTTCCACTATCTAGATTCTACCTCAGCCAATTTATGACTACTGACCTGTATTCTGTATAATCTTTTATTGTTTTGTTATTAATAGTAGTTTTTAATGGACTTTTTTAGTGATAAACAAATATATTGACTGTAGACTGCCGCTTTTCAGCCACAACGAACTAGTTCAGGCCCCATTTTGTTGGTTGTCTTTGTGTTGCCTAATAATTGTAAACAGACAAACTGGAATAACTTAATCCGTTAGAATACCTAAATGTAGCTTTCGCCGAAATATAGTGAGCCGAAACCGTTTCAATTAACGAGTACCATTATAGATCCAAATAAAGGTATTATTTTGAATATTATTTCTTAGATTTTTGGAGTGAAACTTTTTTACGCACGCTTGACTTGGGAGGTAAGCTGACGATTGCGTTATGCGTTACGGAAAGTGTGTTCGGGCAAGGGGAACGGGATTTGAGTGGGGGATATAAGCAAGGGAAACCAGTGCGCGCGCACATTTTCTTTCTCTCTTTCTCTTATAGCTAGTAAAAGTAAATGAAATATGTATATATACATATATGTATATCTTGTACACATATATATATATATATATTTATATTTATATATATACAGATGGAGCTAACGAAGTTTCACTTCAGTCGTGTGCTCATAAGCACACTCCTTTTTTTTTGTTAATATATCTTTTAGAGTATCACAAGGTCTTTTTAAACTTTCTTTATGTGCCGTTATTATTTGTTTAATGTTATAGAGTTTCTTTCACCACTTCTCCACAGCTGAAAAAATGGACTAATCAAAATAAACCTGGTGCAGATTTGGAAAAGAAAGTTTTATTTATTATTTTAGACTATCAATCTATTTATATGTATGTATGTATATTAGAAAACATATTTAATATACCGAAACTTTTTAATTTAGAATAGTATTCTGCCTACATTCAAATTAAACTTCTGACTGTTACAAATAAAAAATTAAGCCATTAACTAAA